TTTCATAGCAGCTGGTAAAAGCTGGCATTGAAATGAGAAAAGTGGAGACAAAGTCAGAATCATCCACTGGAAAAGGTTTTCCAGAGCATCTCCTACCCAGACTTGGGCCTGTATCCTGAAAGACTAAGGGCTCTTGCAGAAGTATAATTTTACAGAGAGATGGCACTAAGTTATCACCGTTGTATCCAAACCTTGTCTTCCACTTGTGTGAGCTCTAGTGCAGACAGCACAACAGCAGCTTACACCCCTGCATGGCGAATCAGTGTAACAGGATTCCATCCCCACCCACCAAACAGAAAACCTGATTTTAAAACACAAACATAGCTGTGTGTTGCACAGTTATGTGGAAATCACACACACTGCTTCCAACAGCTCTTTAGCACTTGCACAATACGAGTGGTATGAGGAGTTCAACAGTGAGTTTAAGGAAAGTTCCACTGATGTTTTGTTGGACACTGGCCAGTGACTTATTTAGTTCCAGCTAGAATCCTCCATCAAGTCCCTTCAAACTTGGACCGTAGCCACGATGGGGCTGTGGGGGGCTCTGCCCCCTTCCTTCAAGGGCCCCACTTCTTAAAGCCCCGCTGCTTCTTCCCAAAGGCATTTAAAGCGATCCTTTAAATGTTTTTGAGACAAAGCAGGGTGGTGGTGCGTGCCCCTCTCCCTCCCCTCCTGCAAGATTTAAAGGGCCCTTCAGCTGATTAACGGGGAGCACATGGCTCGCCTTTGAATCTTGCAGGAGGGGAGGGAGAGGGGCACGCACCACTGCCTCTTCATTATGGCAAATAATAGCAGCCACACCAGAAAAAAATTTTGCCTCACAAGCCACAAAATCCTGGCTAGGGCCTGCTTCAGACTATGATCTGAGAGCAGAGGCCCAGGTGTCCTTATCAGATTTGATTATGACTCTTGAGGGGAAAATGCAATTCCCCACAGCGAAGTGTAAAGGGGATACAAAAGGGGAGCACTGATCTTCTAACCAACAGTTCTCCAGCAAACAAGACACCAAGGCAGCATCCCCCCCGCATTTTTCTGTCCGTGTGGCCGAGGCCTAAGTTTCCTAGCTCTGCCACACACAATCCTGGGTGACCTAACTAGGGCTGTGATCACACACATGAAATAATACACTTTCATTCCACTTTGGGTTGAATGATTTATACTGGATTTATACTGTGTGAACTGGCAAAATCAAATTCAAAAGTGCATTGAAAGTGGATTGTTTTGTGTGTGTGATTGCAGCCTAGGATACCATTTCATTTCCAGGCTTCCACAGTCCCTATTTTATGTGGCTGAGATGCTGACACATCCTGTTTCCATGCAACAGTGTCCAAGTTCTGCAGCAGGATCCATGGGTGTACTTAAGCAATTTTGGAAGCAAGAGCCACAACTTAGATCAGAGCCTCCAGATTTTACCCTTACAAAAAACACTGATCCCAGTTCTGGGAGTCGGTGGCAAGAAAAGCAGCAGAGTCCTATGGCAGCTTAAAGGCTAACGGATTTTCACTGTGGCAGAAGGCTGTCTCACACTTAAACCCAAGTTCCCAAAGGACAGGATGCTAACAAACAGATATGGTTGCTAAAACAGCCACTAAATCCAGTCAGACTCACACCCCATGTTGGTTTGTTGTACTTCCCAATATAACTTACTGGCGGCAGCGGGGGGGGGGGGGACATTCCTGTTCTCTTTGCAAAAGGAATGATCCAGAAAGAGCAATTTTTCTTCCTACATGCGACAGTCTCACACAGGCTTTGCTCAGTTCAGAGAAAATATTAGTAACACTACTCTAAGGAAATGTTGCGGACATTGTAAGATGATCTAAAGCAGGGGTCCCCCCCCAATACTCCCTATATGCCGTGGAGCCTTATGAGCGAAAATTCTACTTTGTGAGCTCCTGGCATTAAAGTTGTGAGCGAGTGATTTGGCTACTGCATAAATTTGTTTGCTCTGGAGCCATCCCTTCCTGAGCTAAACCAACAATGTGTGAGCTGGAGGCTAAAAAAACCATGAGCCAGCTCACATTAACTCAGCTTAGAGGGAACACTGGCCACGGGGCCCCCCCCCCCCCCCCAACGTGGAGCCCCTGGATGCCATGGTGCCTGCCGACACCTTTCTCAGCACCCACCGAGTGTTTTCAGAAAGCAGGATGAGCTCCTGCCCAGGGGAACTTCTGTCTGGCTAATGAAGACCCAAATGGCTGCGCAGATTAAAATAACCTTGTTTCAGCAGCACTTGCCACCACAGTGTGTGTTTATTCTTTCTCACTCTTCTTTCCTTGTGTATTTTGTTTTAAAAATTACCACCTTTCTGCCTTGCCCTGGGAACTTCTTCTGCGTGTGTGGCTCCACCTCCTGCCGCAGCCATTTTGTGGTGGGCACCACCACTCCACTGCAGAACTCTAAAGGTGCCCACAGGCTTAAAAAGATCAGGCACCCCCGAACTAAAGTGACGGTACATGACATCACAGAAACAGAGTAAGAGCCACTAGGCATAGGTAAATACTTCTGGGGCTGGGGCTCAGCGACAGAGGTCTTGCTTTTCACACAGAAAGCCCCAAGTTCAATCTCCAGTTTAGAAGATCAGATACTCGGTGATGTGGAAGACCTCTGCCTGAAACCTCTTGAGAGCCACTGCCAGTCTGAGTAGACAATACTAACCTTGATGGACCAACGGTATGGTTCATGTGTCCGCAGTGGGGCAGGAGATGGTAGGAAGGTGGCTGTGAAAGGAGAGAATGAATGGAATGGCCCATAATATCTGCAGCTGGCCATGGGTACTGCAGTCGATGAGGTCCCTCCTAACTTGCATTAACAAAATCCCCAACTCTCACCCTATATCCTCCAACAACCTAGCTAGATAAGGGTCATCTAATGTAAGGCTGGATGGTCCACAAAGCTGCCTTACTCCTCCTGTGCCCTCTGGCAAATAAAGCTGTATTAAAATGTGATGTGGAAAGTACAGAGAATGAGCAACTGCACTGCCGAAGCAAAATGTCAAGGCCCATTGGATTTCTTTAAAAATTTATATTATTTTCCAAACATTTTTCTTATATTTTTTCTCCAAAAATACATATTATAAGCATGCAACATAGTGGGGGGGGGGTCACAAGAGAAACAGGAAATCCACTGAGAGAGATGGAGGAGGATGTAATTTCCAGGATAACGTAAAGGGACATAAAAGAAGGCCGGGGGGGGGATCACACTAATCCCCCCAAAAACTAAAATTATAAGGAAGATTGCCTACAATGGAATGTAGAAGAAACACTAAACACGTCTAAAGAAACCACATTTCTCTCCCTCCCAATGTCCTCTGTTCTGGGCAGCAGACAGTGAACTATTCACCACTGAGCAGGGTTGTCAACAAGCCTGGAGAAAAATGTCTTGTCCCTCTAACAGAGGTCTCTTGTGCAGAAATGGGCAGTGGAAGCTTTTCTATGGCATAGAGGTCAAGAGCATCACCTGACAAATGACATTCCATCAAGCCTCTGTAAAGAGAACATTTCTTCTCCAGGCAGTTGGCAGCCCTAGCACAAGGTAATTCAAACGCCTCCACAGAACATTAAATTAAGTGATAACATCATGCCACCTTTTGAGCGTGGGGTGCGTGAACAAGAACTGTCTCCCTGGTATAGAGATTTTTGTCTTGTAGGGTTTATCTTGTAATTAAAGCTGCTCCCAAGATCCCATTTCTGTCTCTCTGGGCTGGAAGTACCAGAATTCTAGGGGGCAGCCTAACCAGTTCTGCCTAACATCTATTTGTCAGGGCAAAGAAAAACCACAATATTGTATTTTTTAAAAAACCACCGTGAAAACAGCAGGGCAAGCCCCCTGGCATCAGATCGAAATGGCGTTTGAGACGTGCCCCCTCTCAAAACAGAGCTGGAGAAAGTGAAACCTCGGAAGCTGGCGATGTGACTGAAAAGAGGAACTGTCTGCTGCACCCAGAACTTCAAACCTCTCCTTTCAATAAAAAGTGGTTGCAGACGCCAAACAGACATCCGTTTTCACCCCAAGCCGACGCCTTCTCTGCAAAGGAGGAGCTGTCCACAGAAAACCGGCGGTCCCCCTTCTCGGAATGCAACGTTTTTTGCCAAAACCTCGAGACTGCACCAAACCAAGAATCCAGGCTAGCAGTGGTTTTTTCTCTCTTTTTAAAGGAGCTGATCTAATCATGCTACTTGCACATACACAGAGCATTATATTATTCCAAAGTGAGTTAACAACTGAATTTAATTAAAAACAACAACAAACAAACAGTGCCTCTCCAATGGGCAATCCTGTCCTTCCTTTTAGTACATCCCAGTTCAAATACAACTCAAGGGCACAAGAGTAAAGCGTAAAATGCCCTTTCCTGGGAAATTTCTGTTTAACTCTGACCGATTTCACACAAGAGCTGCGTCGCGCCTCCCTTTGCCCCGCTTCCCAGTGACCATGAGAGGGGATGCAATTTTTTGATCTCAAAATGCATTCGCTTCCTGAATCATTCGGGCTACCCGCTGCCAATGCTCCTCCTAAACTGTGGACTCTTGAGAGCAAAAATTCTACTTTGTGAGCTACTGGCATTAAAGTTGTGAGCAAGCAATTTGGCTACTGCATGAATTAGTTTGCTCTGGAGCCATCCTTCCTGAGATAAGACAAAAACGTGTGAGACAGGGGCTAAAAAAACTGTGAGCTAGCTCACACTAACTCAGCTTAGAGGGAACACTGCGTCGCTGCCTGAAGGTACTTACTCCGTTTTAAACGGCTATGTTGCTTGTTGCCGCAAACTCTGTTTACACCCGCCGGCCACTGAAACCAACAAAACGCCACCTGGTAAAACTTATACCCAGAATGCAACTTTGCTGGTCTTTAAGGTTCCACTGGACTCAAAACGTTGCTCCTCAAAGCAGAGTTTTGTCAACTGGCTCAAACGTCGCCGCTTGCTCGGGCTGTTCTCCAACCACTTTCTGCTTTAATTGGAAAGCACGGGCGGGGAGAGAATTCTGGCCTTGGCACTTACTTACCCCTCTGCCGCGAACAAAGAATCCACAGAGCTGCGTATTCGCGAGCGACTGGCGAGACGCTCTCCCACTGCCCCACCTACTGGAGCGCTGCTGATTACGAGTCAGCCCCTTTCCACGCTCCTCCTCTGATTGGCTGCTGACTCGGACCAAAAATTCCCGGCGGCCGCCCAAGGCGCAGCCGCGGGTTTTCCATGCGGGCAGACCGCATGTGATGCACGTTAAGCAAAGCCGTCTAATAATAATTGTGCTTCCTCCAGTTGCAGCCAACTCACGGGGACCGCCGGGTCGTGGCAGAAGCGGTTTGCCGTGCCTGCAATAGCGGCCCCAGGTTTCTTTGGTGGTTTCCCATCTGTGGCTGACCCAGTTTCGCGTCCACGCTTGACCGAGACGGGGCTAGGCTGTTCTTTCGCGCAGTTCAAAGGCGTATAAAGTGTTTGAGAAGCATTCCATGTCTCCCTGTTTTCAAATCATAAAACTATTTCTGTCAGCCTGCAATACATGGCATACCACAATGCCATAAAAGCACTTTTTCAACCCTAAGATGCTCAAAGCAACTTACAACATTCCTTTAAAAAAGCAAAACACCTGTATTGATTTTCCTCCAGAATGGCTTGTACTTCAGTGGCAGAGCACATGCTTGGTATACAAGTGAGTCGGCTGCTTTACGTATACTCCGCCTTTCTCTCCTGGTCTTCCAGAGGAACCCTACATTTTCTGAATTCTGGCAAATGGCGCTTGCCCTGATCCCGAAATGGTCATATCGGTGGGGAGGATTTTTTGACCCCTCTAGGTGGACTGTTCTCCTAACTGCTCCCACCACTTTTGATGTCTCAGGGTTATTTCAAACAGCTTGACATACAAGTAGAGGGGCAAAGGGGGAGCAACAAACTGTCCTAGAGCATGGTGGCCTTGAAGCTGAGGGACACAGGCACGGATGAATCCACTCCACCACTTAGGGCTAGGAAATTCCTGAAGATATGAAGGTGGAGCCTGGGGGGCGGAGCTTGTGGAGAGGAGGGAACTCAGCGGGGTATAATCAGTGCCATGGAGTCCGTCCTCCAAAGCAGCCATTTTCTCCAGGGGAACTGATCTCTGTAGTCTGTAACTCTGGGAGATCTCCAGGCCCCACCTGGAGGTTGATAACTTTACCATCACTAACCTGCAGCTCTTCTTAGCATGCATTCAAAGAAAGGCAGGAGTAATGGTACCTTTTCCTCTCTAGGCAAAGTTGGCTGCTCTGCAGGGGGTCATGGCCAAGCAGAAGGTGCCCCCTAACCCACCCAGAGTCCTGTGTCTTGAGGTTGCCATCCACCAGGTGGGGCCTAGATATCTCCTGGAATCACAACTGGCAAATGGCGCTTTTAGAACTCAAGTTATCTCCAGGTAACAAAGATCCGGCTGCTTTGGAGGATGGATACGGTGGCATTATACCTCACTGAGGCCCCTCCCCTCCCTAAACCCCCACCCCCCCAAGGTTCCACCCCAAATCTCCAGGCCTTTCCTAACCCAGAGCTGGCAACCCTAGACATGAGCAGAAGGCCACTGTCCTGCAACACATTTTCCAATACTCAAAGCTCCCTAGTTTAAAAAATAGATAACTTGAGTTCTAAAAGCTTTCTCATAGAGACACAACCTCATTACCATGTCTGTCTATGTGGCACAAAGGGGGGGGGGAGAACTGCCACTTCATTGCCAAGGTGCATTTGAGTAATCAGTTCCTAGAACGAAGCCTAGGAGAGGCTCAGCATCAAACGGTCTGCCATGTCCCACGTCCTCCTTGGAGTTAACAAGGCTTTGTTCAGTTCAGCAGATACTTGTAAACAAAACGCACCCAGACTTTGTTCCCACACAAGCTGAGGTTTCCTTTATACGCTCAGCAGGTACCTTCAGCCTCTTCGCACTGCAGATGGGAGAAATCCAGGCCTGAATGTTCTTCAGGGGCTAGGGGGTGTGCTCCCTGCAAGGAGAAAAACCACATAAAAGGTCTTCTGCCTTTGCTGCTAATTTTCTATGCGCAAGGAGGTATACGAGAACTGAAACTTGCAAAGCTCCTCTGCAGGATGTAGTGGATCGTGACAGCAACAGCTTCATCGTGTAATCCCATCAGACCTCATTAGATCATGTAAGAGTTAACAGAGCGATGGTTTTTAGGCAGCACTATGCTTCCTAAAGAATGTGAATTTGCGGTGATAAAAATGCTCCTTGCCATTGAAGTATTGCATTCAGAGTTATTCTAAAAAGAATTGGGAAGGGAGTAATGCACTTTCTGGCCCAAGAGCCTTTCAAAAGCATTTCCATGCAGAAGTAGGGTTGCCAATTCTGGGTTGAGAAATTCCTGGATATTTGGAGGTGGAGTCTGAGAAAGGTGGGGTTTGGGGAGGGGAGATGGAGTAGGAGGAGATTGGATTTATACCCCACCCTTCACTTTGGGTCTCAGAGCGGCTTACAGACTCCTTTCCCCTCCCCATAACTGACACTCTGTGAGGTGAGAGAGCTCTGAGAGAACTGCTCTGGAAAGAACAGCTCTGACAGAACTATGGCTTGCCCAAGGCCATCCAGCAGCTCCTTTTGGAGCAGGGGGGAATCAAACCTTGTTCTCCCAGGTTAGAGTCCACACACTTAACCACTACACCAAACTGGCTCTAGCAGGATACAGTGCCATAAAATCTACCCTCCAAAGCAGCAGTTTCTCCAAGGGAAATCTCTATAGTCTGGTGAGCAGCTGTAATTCAGAGACATATCCTCACCCCACCCGGAGGTTGGCAACCCTATGTAACCACAGTTCCACCCCGTGTTCATGTCAACCAGTGCATGCCATCTGGACCGCCGTGGACCATAGGCACAGAGCAGGCGTATCTCAGATGGAATTTACTGAGCAAAATAGTTCCAGATCACTTAGTCACATGCTAGAGGACAAGGCGGGGAAAGCACAATCTCCTAATAAGTCACATGCCTGATCACCCATGAAGAGTTGAAATTGTCTACTATAATTGAGGAAGGAACCAAGAAAAAAAGGATGTGTTTTGTTGTAGCCCATCAAGATATTTATTTAGTTATACCGTACTTTTCTTGCCAATGGGGACCCAAAGCAGCTTTGGATGTTGTTTCCCCCTCTTCCATTTTACCTTCACAGCAACCCTGAGAGGTAGGAGAGGTTCTGAGTGCATGACTGGCCCAAGGTCACCCAGCAAGCTTTCATGGCAGAGTGGGGATTCGAACCTGAGTCTCCCAGATCTTAGCCCAATGCCCTAACCACTACACCAGACTAACAGCAGTTGTGAGCAGTTGGACTACTGAAACTTTAACTTTGAAACTGACTTATGGGCAAGGCATTTCTAGCCAATGTGATTCGGAGGAAGCCATCAAACAGCATTATCAGCTAGACCTTGAATGTCTGCAAAACCACCAAACCTTTTGCTGGAAAATCGGAACAGGAGCGGAGGAGCTACACACCTCTGCCCAACCCTGCTCCTGGTTTCAGCAGGCCCTAATGCCTTACAGCCTCCAGCCTGGGTGGCTCAGTCTTGTCAGATCTTGGAAGCTGAGCGCGGTCAGCCCTGGTTAGTACTTGGATAGGAGACCACTAGGGGAGTCCAGGGTGACCACACAGACACAGGCAGTGGCAAACAACTTACATTAGTCTTTTGCCACAGAAGCCCTATGGGGTCGCCAGCCGTCACCTGCGACTTTACGGCACTTTCCACCACCAAAGCCCAACAGAAAGTGAGGTGGGGACACTTTTTTCTGATTGCTACTTTAATTATTATTTATTTAAAATATGTTTATCCTGCCTTTCCTTTGCTTAAGACAGCTTGCCATATCAAAAAAGGTAAAATAAAGGTCACAACCATCTGTTTTAAAACAGCAGATTTTTGGAACTGATAACGAGTGCTCCCTCTCAGCTGTGGAGTCTGGTGAGCAAAAATTCTACTTTGTGAGCTGCTGGCATTAAAGTGGTGAGCAAGTGATTTGGCTACTGCATAAATAGGTTTGCTCTGGAGCCATCCTTCCTGAGCTAAGACAAAAATGTGTGAGCCGGAGGCTAAAAAACTGTGAGCTAGCTCACACTAATTCAGCTTAGAGGGAACAGTGCTGATAACTTAGTAATCAGACTTCAACAGTCAAATGCCCTGCAGGAAAATAATGGCTTTGATTCTCTCCAAAGAGGCATGATAGAGAAGCAGCTCAGATGGGAGGCCATTCCCAAACAGGGTTTGCCAACTTTGGCTTGAGGAATTCCTGGAGATTTGGGGTCAGTGCCTGGGAAAGGGTGGATTGGGGAGGGAGCTCAGACAGGGCTCTTTTTGTAGCAGGAACTCCTTTGCATATTAGGCGACACACCCCTAATATAGCCAATCCTCCAAGAGCTTACAGAGCTCTTCTTACAGGAGCTACTGTAAGCTCTTGGAGGATTGGCTACGTTAGGGGCAGTGTTCCCTCTAAACTGAGTTAGTGTGAGCTAGCTCACAGTTTTTTAGCCTCTGGCTCACACATTTTTGCCTTCGCTCAGGAAGGATGGCTCCAAAGCAAACTGATTTATGCAGCAGCCAAATCACTCGCTCACAACTTTAATTCCAGTGGCTCACAAAGTAGAATTTTTGCTCACGAGACTCCACAGCTTAGAGGGAACATTGGTTAGGGGTGTATTGCCTAATATGCAAAGGAGTTCCTGCTACAAAAAGAGCCCTCCCATCATGTAAAGCTGCCATTTCCCCCAGGGGGAACCGACATCTGCAGTCTGGAGATCAGTTATTGTAAGGAACCTCCTTAAGGTCAGCAACTCTGTTCTAGAGCCTTGGGGCAACAGCGGTGAAAATCCTGATCTCTGCAACTGGATTCTTGAGTCCTGAAGGGCAGGTGGGATCAGGGCCCAGCCTGCCTACTGCAACAGTTTGATGGATGAGTGACATGCCCCAGTAGCAAGCTTGCCCATTTGAAGACTGAAACGCTCAGGATATCTACAGGGATTCAGACAAGGCCCCAGAACTGCCATTATGTATGGCTGAACACATGAACAGAGAAATGGAGCTTCCTTATACTGAGACAGACTATTGGTCTCTCAAGGGCCGCAGTTACACACATTAAATAATCCACTTTCAATGCAGTTCCTAAGTGGATTTTGCCAGTTCACACAGTATAATCCAGTTGGAAAGTGCATTGAAAGTGGATTATTTAGGGTGTGCAACTGCAGCCAAGGTCAGCCTTGTCTACTCTTAGGGTTGCCAACTCTGGGTTATTAAATTCCTGGAGATTTGGAGGCAGAGCCAGGGGGCAGGGTTTGGAGAGGAGAGGGAGCTCAGTGGGGTATAAGGCCATATATTCCACCCTCCAAGGCAGCCATTTTCTCCAGGGGAGCTGATCTCTGTAGTCTGGAAATCAGATGTAATTCTGGGAGATCTCCAGGCCCCACCTGGAGCTTGGGCACCCTATCTACTCTGACTGACAAGGGTTCTCCAGGGTCTTAGACAGAGATCTTTCACATCACCTACTACACGATCCTTCTGGGGATTGAACCTAGGCAGAAGCATGTATCAGGAGTGTGCTTGCACATGAAAGCTTATACCATGAATAAAACTTTGTTGGTTTTAAAGGTGCCACTGGACTCAAACTTTGCTCTGCAAGAAAACAAGTGTGCGTGACTAATCTATACACAAACAAGAAGAAATAGTATGTAGGTTACCCACATACCAGAGTTGTGACATGTTGCTAATTCAGAAAGCACCTGCGGGGATGCTGTATCAGTAATCCAATGAATTCTTTCTTTCTTTCAAGCATGCAATGGTGTGGTTATTCAGGTTGGGTGCCTTTGTCTGTCTGGCTCTGGCAGAGAGATGCAGGCTAAGTGGAGATTGTTGGGCCTATGCTTCAGCTCAGACAAGGCATGTACGAAGTAGTTCAAAGGTGAGCTGACACCATCTGTGCATATGTGCAGGATCATTTCGCAATCTGGGCAGCGGCAGCCATTTTACTAAAATGAAAATCCGTGGCACCTTAAAGCCTAACAACATTTAATTAATTAATTAATGAGCTCTTGTAAGTTGGAGCTCACTTCTTCAGATATGTGGAAGGGAAATCCTTTTGGGAATACTTTGTAGGCTGTCTTTCTCATTGAGACTCGTTAGGTTATAGAATGTAGAACAGTGCAGCAGAGCCAACTGAGACCACTGTTGTTAAAAATATGCTTGCCGCAGTTACAATCGGAACTGCACAATGTATAGCTTTAGAAATTATGGTATCTGATGTTAATGAATAAAATTACAGTGGCCAAGTATTTAAGAGAAAAGAAACTCATGAGGCACGAAATGTCTGCAAAACAATGGTTTCCTTTCATTGATTATTGGAACGAAATATATAGATTCCACAATATCCAGCAAGAGATTCTGCTTTATGCTTAAAATAGCTTGTAGGTATGAGAGGTATTAACTCATCTTAAGTTTCGGTTTCTACTATTTAATGGGATACGATGGTGGCATTGTCTATTCTTTGTGGATACTACAGATATACACCTGAATAGCATACTCAGGATTGCTACAGAACAGACATTTTGATGCAATAATTCAGAGCAGAGGAGTCAGTTATCAGAGACTGTACAAAATAGAGAAAATATTGCAGAAGTGCTAGTGTGTTAAGCATGTTTTATTTAAAGTTTAAAAAATCTTTAATTGTGTTTGTCTGTGTCCTTTATAAAGTTTTTATCTCTGCTACCTGGCATTACATTTTATGACACACATGGCCTGGCCCAACAAGGTTTCATTTAGGTCAGATCTGGCCCTCATAACAAATGAGTTCGACATCACTGTGCTAGAGATTCTGGGGTGGAGCGTGGGGAGAGTGATATTTGGGAAGGGACCTCAGTGAGGTATAATGCCAGAGAGTCCACCCTCCAAAGTCGCCATTTATCCCAGGGGAACTGATCTCTGTAGTCTGGAGATCAGTTATAATTCCAGGAAATCTCCATGCCTCCCCTGGAGGCTGGCAACCTTTCCCAGGGGAAATTTTTGTGAAATTTGCAAAAAGATCAACAAGAGACTTAATACTTAAAGCATTTAATACTTAAATGTAATGCCAGGTACAGCTACAACAGTCAAAATTCAAGAAGAGGAGATAAAAATATTGAAAGATGTTCCATACAAAATATGTAAGAAAAGGAAGCAATACAGAAATATTACAGCATTTCTTCAAAAGATCAATGTCCAGGCTAGAAGCCCCCTTCAGGCCGATCCCCCTACCTGCTGTCCCAATCCGACTCTCCCCCATTGGAGCTCATTGGGTTGCGTTCGTCGCGAGTCGCCATCCACTGGAAGTCCCTGTGATGTTTTGTTTTGTAATCCATAGGAGAAGCCAACAAATACATCTGAGCCACCTTATCCTGTTCATGTTTACTCAGCCACACACCCCAATTTCAGTGGGACTCACTACCTACTACCTACTAAGTGGTCATAGGGTGAGCCCCCCAGATGAGAACCGACCACACTGCTGGCAGGTAATTAATTATTGCATAAACACAGCATGCTGAGCAAATCAGCACAGAACCACTGCATATCCCAGGGCTGGGTTTTGCTGAAACAAAGAGAAAACAGTCAATTTTCTGCAGAACTAACTGGCTCCATGGCCTCATTCATATGTGCATAAAGCTCACCATTGGGAGAGAAGGTGGCATGGTACAGCCCAGGGACTCCCGATCTTTATTAGCCTGTGGGTGCCTTGGGAACACCGACACGAGGTGGTAGGCAAAGTCACAAAATGGCCCTCGTGAGAGGTGGAGCCACACACAAAGGAAGCCCATGTGCCGGGGGCAAGAGAAGCAGTTTTTTAAAAATGCATTGGGAAAGAGGCCTGAGAAAGAGAATAAAGCCAACACTGCGATGGTAGATGCCACAGAAACAAAAATATTTTAATTTGCACAGCCAGTTAGAGCTCCAGTAGCCAACTGGAAGCCCTGCTGGACAGCAGCCCCACCTGGCCACACCCACTTTCTAAAAACAACTGGTGGGTACCAACACTCCCTCCAAGCTGTGGAGTCTCGTGAGCCAAAATTCTACCTTGTGAGTGGCTGGCATTAAAGTTGTGAGCGAGCCATTTGGTTACTGCGTAAATTAGTTTGCTCTGGAGCTATCCTTCCTGAGCTAAGACAAAAATCTGTGAGCCAGGGGCTAAAAAACTGTGAGCTCAGCTTAGAGGGAACCATTAAACGGCACCACCACTTTGGGGACGCCTGGTATAGTCTGATCACTTTAGATCTCAGAAGCTAAGCAGGGCTGGTACTTGGATGAAGACCTCCAGGGAAGACTCTATGGAGGAAGGCCATGGCAAACCACCTCTGCTTCTCTCACCTGCCTTGAAAGCCCCCAGTTAGGGTTGCCATATGTCAGCTGCAACTCGAGGGCACTATTTTATGTGGACCTTTGTTATTACATATTAGGGCAGCTGAAAGTGTTAATTTGAAGTGCATTTGAAGGAGGGGGGGAAAGAGACGGAAGTTCTGTGTGTAGTGCTACAGCTGTGACGGTCAAGTCATACAAGCAAGTCAATTCCATCCCCCAAGAAAGCAAGCTGCAGGCATTGCATTGGCCATGCACAGATGGGCCCAACTTGGGTAGGCTCATTTGGCACATCACAGCAGTGGTATACAAATGAGGAGCTGCAGAAACCTTTATTTCTTCTTAAAAGGAAGATTTGTCTTCAGCAAAGTGGATTGTGGTTTCAAGATTTCACTAATAGCAAAAACAAACGGTGCTTTCTGTTCCCAGGAGCTACTAGAGACTCTGGGGGATCCTTTGCCCTGGAACCCTTTTTCAGCACTGGGGTCAATCCAAGAGCATTAGCGATCCAGAACGACAAACAACTTCCCAGTGGAAAGCAAGCTAAGAAAAGGGAATTCTTGAAAGAATAGGGAATGTTACTCCAACATAAATTTTCCATGGATTGGAGCCTGAGTGTTCAGACGCAAATGATCAGTGCATGTGAAAAAGTGTGGTCTAGCGCACTAAAGCTTATTTTGGAATAACACTTTCAGGCTAGCCCGATCGCGTGTCGGTCAGATCTCTGGAAGCTAAGCGGAGGTTGGCCCTGGTTGGTGTTTGGATGGGAGACCAGCAAGGAAGTCCAGGGTTCCGCCACAGAGGCAGGCAGTGGCAAACCACCCCTGTCCTTCTCTTGCCTTGAAAACTCCATTCGGGATTGCCATAAATCGGCTGCGAGCGACTTCCCGGCACTTTCCTCCTCCACCGCCAGCAGCAGCAGCAACCTTTCAGGTGCCGCTGGATTCCTGTTTCATTTGGCAGCAAGAGACTTCCGAAAACATTACGACGGGAGACAGGAAAGCTTCCAAGCAGGGATCAGCGCCTGCCCGGGGTCGTGGGGGACCCAAACGCCGCTGCCAAAGTGACAGAGGCACCGACTCACGCCGCCCTCTTCCTCCTTTACCTGCGCCAGACGCCGCGCCTAGGGGAGGGCGGCCTTTCCCACCAAAGCGCGGCGGGGCTAGGCTGGACTGAGCCGAGCCCGCCCCAGAGCCGCTCCTCTCCCGGAACGAGCGCAGGCAGGCGGGCAGGCAGGCGGGCGGGGGTTGCTTCGCTCGCGCTGGCACCTGGGCAGGCGGCGCCCCAAACGGGAAAGGCGCTCGGAGAGGGAGCGGGGGGCGCAGCGATTGGCCCGGTCGCCCCTCTTTCCACCCCCCCTCCCCGGAAGGTGCCGTGCACCTGGTCTCTCCTTTCCCGCAGGTGAGACAGGCTCCCTGTCTGGGCGCCGCCAGCATGGCCGCCGCCGCCACCTCTTCCTCCTCCTCCTCCTCGCGGTCTCCGCCGGCGCAGCAGCGGCCGGACAACACGGCCTTCACGCAGCAGCGCCTGCCGGCCTGGCAGCCGCTGCTGTCGGCGGGGACGGTGCTGCCGCTCTTCTTCTGCCTGGGCGTGGCCTTCGTGGCGCTGGGCCTGGGCCTCCACTTCTCCTCGGCCACCATCCGCGAGCTGGAGCTGGACTACACGGGCCTGGGCGACTCGAGGTGCGCCCGCTGCGCCAACCTCAGCCTGCTGGCCGACGGCTCGACGTGCGCCTGCGAGCTGCCCTTCTCGCTGGCCGAGGCCTTCCCTGCCCCCGTCTGCCTCTACTACCAGCTCTCCAACTACTACCAGAACAACCGGCGCTACAGCGTCTCCCGCGACGATCAGCAGCTCAGCGGCCTTTCCTGGGCTCTCCGCGACCCGGTGGAGGAGTGCAAGCCCTACCGCTACAATGCCACGGGCGTGCCTATCGCGCCCTGCGGCTCTGTGGCCAACAGCCTCTTCAACGACACCTTTGAGCTCTACTACGTGTTCAGCAATGGCACCAAGGTCAAAGTGCCCCTGGACAAGAGGGGCATCTCCTGGTGGACGGACACCAACATCAAGTTTCGCAACCCCGAGCCTGTCGACGGCATCTTGGCGCTGGCCTTCAACGGCACTGCAAAGCCCCCGAATTGGAAGGTCCCAGTCTACAAGTTGGGCCAAGGCAACAACACGGGTTTCGTCAACGAAGACTTCATCGTCTGGATGAGGACGGCCGCTTTGCCGACCTTCCGCAAGCTCTACTCACGCATCCGCCTGGGCAATTTCTCCACGGGGCTGCCCCGAGGCAACTACTCACTCAATATTACCTACAATTACCCCGTCCTGTCTTTCCATGGCACCAAGAAGGTCATCTTCAGCACCCTTTCCTGGATGGGGGGCAAAAATCCTTTCTTGGGCATCACCTTCCTGGTTTTTGGCTCCCTCTGCATCGTCACTGGCTTTGTCATGCTGGCAGCCCATATAAAATACCAACATCTCAATGAGGCAGATTAGTAAACGCAGCCGGGACAACCCCCAAGGTTTGGGGAGAGAGCTTCAGGAACTGTATGGCCAGTGGCTTCTTGTCATGTGTTAGCGGAATTAAGCCTAGGTTGTAGCTATGCCTGGAATCCTATTTGCAGGAGTCTAGAATCAATGGGACTTCTGAGTCGTCATAGATCGGGTTGGTGTTTTGTGTGTCAGTCACTTTCGTGGGCTTTGAGGCTTGTGCAGATGATTTGGGATTTACTTTTGATTTACATAAGAGAAACTGGGCACAGATCTAGGCTGTGTGGCAGATAGGGTGCTTCAGCCAAGGGTGTCCCATATGTAATGCTCCCTCTAAGCTGTGGAGTCTTGTGAGCAAAAATTCTACTTTGTGAGGTCCTGGCATTAAAGTTGTGAGCGAGCGATTTGGCTACTGCATAAATTAGTTTGCTCTGTCCTTCCTGAGCTAAGACAAAAATGTGTGAGCTGGAGGCTAAAAAACTGTGAGCTAGCTTACACTAACTCATCTTAGAGGGAACACTGCCCATATGATTGATGTAAGCCATATTTCACAGCTGTTTGGGTGGAGTTCTTATGTTTCAAATGAATTGATGTTTTAATTAAGAGCAGGAGAACATCTTGTCTCATTGAGTCCTTGAAGATGGATGTCCTCCACAACACTGGGCTAGACCATCATAGGAAGAAACGACTGACACAGTGCTTGATGGATGTCAAGAGCAATCCTAAACAGGTCTACTCAGGGCTATTCAAGGGAGCTTACTCCCAGGAAGGTGTTCTTAGGCTTGTATTGTTCAGCACTTAGACTTGCATTCGTAAGCATCGCTTCCAGAATGAAAGTCCTTATTGACAGACTTTACAGAGCTTTAAGGAATCTTTTATTTTACACCAGTTTCTTACCAGTGTGTTGTCTTGATAATTTTTTATAACATGCTTTGTACTATAAAAAGTGATTCCTTTAAAAGCAGTAATTCCTCGACGCTGGACAATTCCACACACGAGGAGACGTGAAGCATGCACACTGGTTGGGATGTGCATTGAAGGCCTGCTGCAGTTACTTGTTTGTTATGTCATTCTGAGTGCGCTGTTGGATTGCACCCTCTCTTACCACGTTCGGTTCTAGATCTGTCTGCGTCATCTCTTCCAGCTTCCATTTTACCCCTACAGATCCATCAGGATATCAGTTGCTGAAATGAATGTGTAACAGGCAGATAAAATCCACCCATGCGTATTTCCTAGCAATATTCCACAAGAGCTGGAGTTGTGTGACACCTAGTAGAAACTGTGGCCCTGAATTTCACTGTGCCATGAAACTCCCTGGGTGACCTTGAGTTAGTCCTCATCCAGCAGCCTACCTCACAGGGAAGACTGGGAAACCACAGCTTGTGCCTTGGAGGAAGAGTGGGTATAACATTAATGAAGTATCTTTCTTTGTTGATCAGTCAGCACTTTCTTTTCTAAATTAAAAGTCATTACTTGAATCAAATTGTATATGAACTAAGAATTGACACACATTTTTCTAACATGCTGCTTATGTGGTCAGATGTCCAAATGATTTCAACCAGGCTTTCTTACAGGTAGAGCCCAGGTGTTAGAGTGGACATATTGTAAGCAGAGCAACTGTTCAGTCTTATTGTTAACAGATTAGAAATTACAAAGGCTAACCAGTACGGCATGGTTTATGGTTACTCCCTGGTGCACTTACAGACCCCACTTTGGAGTCCAGAAGGAATTTCCCCCCAGGTCCAGTTGGACCACGGGTTCTGGAGGTCCTTTTGCCTTCCTTTGAGCATAGAGCCAGGGTCACGTGTGTGTGTGTGAGGTAGCTGTGAATTTCCTGTGTTATGCAGGGGATTGTATTAGGTGGCCTTTGGACTCCCATGCTTCCATATCCATGACTAGGAGGGATACCTTTGTCCAGATTATGGATCTTTCTGGTTGTTATAATCTGTACATGTTGTGGAGAACAAAAGGAAGGGTCAAGCCCACGGACTGCTCTCAGTCTCACTGTGTGTGCTTGGGGAGTAGGCCTCCCAACTCTGGGTTGGGAAGTACCTGGAGATTTTGGGAGCAGAGCCGGGGAAGGGTGGGATTTGGGGAGGGACCTCAGCAGGATAAAATGCCATAGAGTCCACCCTCCAAAGCAGCCATTTTCTCGGGAGGAAATTATCTTGGTTGTCTGGAGATCAGTTGTAATAGCGGGAGACCTCCAGGTGCCACATGGAGGTTGGCAACCATATTGGGAGATGTTGTCCAAGCACATGAGGTTTAAAGTGGCGGTGGGATTTGCTCCTACTGGTTAGCAGGAGATCAGAGTGTTAAACTTCTCAGGTGTGCAGTAATGACCTCGAGCAAGAGCTTAAAGGGTGGGATATAGAGAATCCGATTCAGTAATTTGGAGCACTGACTCCGGCAGAAGCAATATGGGTTATTAGGCTGGATCCCGGCTCTCAGCTTCCCTACAGTATCACAGCCATTACAGGTAGCAATGGAGCCTGGTATCGCGAATACCCTCTCCTGACTTCACTGTGGCTGTAGCCCTATGTATACCTATTTAGAAGCAAGACCCGGTGAATTTGGTAATAGCTACTTCTAAGTAAACTCATGTAGGATTTATCTGTAATGGTTTGGAGGAGTTCTCTTGGGGAATGTCAGGAGACACTTGTGTGACACCACAGTCCTCAAGTTATTTGTAACCTCAGAAGGCATCAGAGCTTATCCATTTGCAAGCAGTTTCAGGATTACACCTGGGAGAATCTTTATTTTATCTGCTTCGTTTTGCTCCGTGCTAATAAGATGATGATGCTTCCGTGGTTGCATCTCAGCTCAGTGCATTCCCTCTTGTGTGTTTTAATAATGCAAAAACGGCAACTGTGTGTGCCTGCTTGTGTCTGAAATGAATACCTTGTATACGATGCAAAATGAAGAGTGTCCTGTCATTTCCTATGCCTTGCAAAAGAATAGTTTGTAGTGCCTACTGATTTTTCTGACAAATTATCTCATAAATATTTTATTCTAATATTATATAGCAGTGCACCGCTGGGTAGCTAAAACTGGGATATGGGGAGTAAGATGCATTTTCTTTCATTTGGAAGCATTTCTTTTTAAATAAATGATTTTCTTTTTAAATAAATGATGAAAAATAAATATTACCTTTTGTTTTCAATTGTATTTGAAAGATACACGAGGTTGAACTTTATCCTGAAATTTAGTAGTCCAGAAAAGGAAAAAACATAGAACAGTTTTCTACATTGGTCTATGCAGATTTGGTCTGGGTTCATCTGATTACTAAACACATTCCTCTGTCTTACATAATAAGTAAATCTAAACATTAATACTGTTTCCCAGGCTTTCTGATACTGGTCCCTAATCGTAGGTGAGCTAAGACATCCTAATTTGGCTTACCATACAACGCCCCATAATATAACTGTTTGAGCCCCACAATTGTATGCCTGAAGGGTTGAATTTGAAACCAGTTCCAGAATGTAAGCACAAATAGTAATTTCTAAAATACACTCAATAGGAGTAGAGGTTTAGTGAGGGCTGTTAATACACGCAGAAAGTTTTATCCTTTGCATTAATGAGGGGGAAATTAGGCCAGAAGGTATTAGACCTAAAGCTTTTGACCACTATTGCTGGATATTTTTGTGCTAGTATTAGAAAGTTGCAGCAATCCACCTTCAGAATTCTGACAGATCCAGTGTAAAGCAGCGATGAGAGAACAGCAAATTGTGGTAAATAATCTATTTTGTTAAACCCTCTAATAACAATAAAAAAGCCCAAAAGTTAATGAAATGGCCAGGCTTTGTCATGGTACATAGGTAACTTGCTAGTGTTTGCTATCATCTAAACATAGGAAGGACAGTATTTTAAAGATATTAGGGAACTGGACTTTTATGTGAATGAGGACCAGATTCAAACTGCAGCCATGAAGCTCAATGGGTGAGCAGAGAAATCAAAACTGTGTGGGCACAAGGTGAGGGAGAGATGGCTGACATCACAGGCATTATATAATAGAACCCTGTGATGTCTGTGAGCTATATTATAGGTTGTGTATGGGGGGGTATTTGTGTATGTGTGTAAATAGATGTAACTGCAGAGGAGGGAGACTTACATGACTTTGCATGGATCCTAAATGGCCGGAGCCCAGAAGACCACCTTAGGCTATGATTTAATAGTCAGTTGCAAACACTCTCCCTCCCAATATTCCTACAAACACAAGCACAGTCCTAGTCTAAAAGGGGCTACAGAGAGAATCAACTGTAGAATGCCAATCAATGAAAAAGACTAGAGGATAAGATGGCAGGTAGCTTGCCATTGCGGGACCTCCAAAACACTGAGATCTGCAGGTGCCATCTGTACCAGGATGCTCTATGATGGGGGGAGGCATCAAAAGACATTATAACCACAGGTGTCAAAGGTTATCCTACACCCAACTCTCTGCATTCCAACTGATCCAGTCTTCTTTGACATGCAATGTCTTTTCAGCTGTAGCTTAGATTTTCTTGGTGCAGCAGAAGCAAGTGATTTCTTTGATTGGGGGGGGCAAGTGTTGTCATCAGCTGTAAGAAGGTGCAAGACAGTTATTTGGAACAGCAGTTGTATAAACTGAAAATAGTTCCTGCTGGCAAAGCTGTGCCCATATCTGACCAGTGTTAATTCAGCAGAGTATTTAAATGCACTTTGATTCTCTAGTACTGTTAAACCTTCAGCTTGCAGGATTGGAGTCCCTTCCTTTGAACACGAGAACTGAGCTTGCTTTATCTTTCCTAGTGAAAGAGGCCCCCGAAACAGCATATATTTACACTTCCTATGATTTGTTGACTTATTTCAATTCCTTGCTTGATCTTGCTTTATTGTTTTTAATTGTGAGCTGCCTTGGACAGGGCTAGAGAGGTGGTATACATTTATTAGTTAAATAAATAACAGTATTTAGCCGCCTTAACGCTACAATCCCAAGCAGAATTACACCTTTCTAAACCTATTGATTTCACAGTTTAGAATCACCCTGTAAAATGTTCAAAGA